AGTAAAAAAAATTATGATTGTATCAATAGATGCAGAAAAGTCTTTGATAAAGTTTAATACCCATTTTTATTAAAAACACTTGAAAGTATCAGTATAAATTGATTTTTTCCTTAAATTGATAGATAGCATTCATCTAAGACTATCAGTACGCATTATCAGTAAGAGGGATAAAGTAGAACCCTTGCTAGTAAGATCAGTCTTGAAACAAGACTGCCCATTGTAATCAATAATATTCAAGATTGTATTGGAAATGTTAGCAATAGTAATGAGAGAAAAAGAAATTGAAGAAATCAGAATACATATTGAGGTAATAAAGTTATTTCTTTTTTGCAGAAGGTGTGATGTTATACTTGGAAAATTGCAAAGACTCAACTAAAAAGTTAGTTGAAACAATGAATAATTTTAGCAACTTAGTAGGATATAAAGTTAATCCATAGAAATCATCAGCACTCCTCTATGTAACAAATAAAACCATGAAGGAAGAGATAGTAAAAATAACCAATTTAAAATAACTCTAGACAGTATAAAATACCCAAGTGTACAGCTGTCAAAACAGACTCATGAGCTACACAAACAAAATTATAAGAACTTTTTAGACAAATAAAATATGATTGAAATAATTTGAAAAATATTAATTGTTCATGGCAAGGCAGGGCCAATATAGTTAAAATGACAATTTTACCCAAACTAATTTATATATTCAATGCCATCCAAATTAAGTTGCCAAAAATATTCTTACTGAATTAAAAAAAAATAAGTGGATTTGGAAAAAGAAAAAGTCAAGAATATCGATGGTAATAATGGAAAAAAAATTTAAAGGAAAGAAATTTAGCAGCACCAGATCTTAAACTATAATATAAGGTAGCAATTATCAAAATATCTGGTGCTGGCCAAGAAAGGCAAAGCAGATCCATAGAATTGAATAAGCATCCACTTTAGCAGCAAATAAGCACAATAACTTTGTATTGGACAAGTAGGAAGTCTTAAAATTTGGGGATAAGATTTTGGGAAAAATTTTGAGAAAAGTAGAAAGCAGAATGGCAGAAACTGGGCATAGATAATATCTTTCACCATTTACCAAAATAAGGTCAAAATGGATATATACCTAGATACAAAAATTGCTTTTATGAGAAAATTGGAAGGACATGGAACACATTATTATCAGACTTATTGATAAGTGAATAACTTGTGAATAAAATAAAGATAGAGAGCAAAGTTTGGTATAAAATTAATAATTTCACTTTACATGAAGTGAAAAATGTTAATTTTTATATCACACTAAATTAATTTAACATAAAGAAAACTATTCACTTTAAATACATGAAATTAAAAAGTATTTTTACAAATAAAACAAATGTAGCCAAGATCAGAAGGAAAATAGAAAATTAGAAAAATATTTTATAGACAGTTTACATTATAAAGGTCTCACATTTAGAATATATAAAGAACTTTTTCCAATATGTAAGAATACCAGCCATTTCTTAATTGTTAGATGGTGAAAGAATATGAACAGTTTTCTGAAGAAGAAATCAAAACAGCTTATAATCTTATAAAAATGCTCTAATAACTATTGATTAGAGAAATATAAATTAAAACTATCTTGCAAGATCATTTTACACCCACCAAACTGGCTAAAGTGATAGAAGGGGAAAGCAACAAATATTGGAGGGGATATAGAAAAATTGGGCCACTAACTCATTCTTGGCGGAATTGCTAAATGATACATCCATTCTGGGGAGCAATCTGGATTTATGCCCAAAGAGTTATTAAACTACCTATATCCTTGGAGCCAGTAATAACTCTGCTTGGTCTATTTCTGAAGATAATTAGGGAAAAGGAACAGAATCTATGCATCTCAAACGTTTACAGCAGCTCTCTTTGTGGTCGCAAAACCTGGAAATTGCAATTGTCAAGTGTTTTGTCTAAGGCAATATCTCTTTTGTTTGTTTTGTTTTTTTGGCATTTGGAGTTAAGTGACTTGCCCAGGGTCACACAGCTAGCAAGTGTCAAGTGTTTGGTCTGAGGCCCGATTTGAACTCAGGTCCTCATGACTTCAAGACCTGTGCTCTATCCACTGAGCCACCTAGGTGCCCCTCTACCAATATTGTCTGAAGAACAACTTTGAGCAATTAAGTTATTTTGTCTATCATAAATACCCAAAATAACTACAAAGGACATGTGTAGGAAGATGCCATCTGCATCTAGAGAAAGAATTGATGTATAGAATAATTTTACATATGTATACTTATTTGTGTCCAATGATAGCTATCTCTAGGGTGGAGAGGGAAGAAAAAAAATAAAAGAAATATAAAAAAAAAGAAATCTATATCATAAAAAAGAACCAGAGGGCAAAATAGAATTAGAAAAAATACAGTGGTCATCTCTTCAAAGAAAACCCCAAATTCAAACTTCCAGGAATATTACAGTCAAAATCCAGAGCTTCCAGGTAGTTAAGGGGAAAAAAGAAATCATACAGGTAACCAGAAAGAATTCAAGTACTGAGGAGTGCAAGTCAGGATCACAAATAATTTAACAGACACCACTATAAAGAAGTGGAAAGCTTGAAATAAACTCTTCCTAAAAGTTTACAGCCAACAACACTTTACTCATCAAAACTGAATAAAACACTAAATGGAAAAAATATGAATCTTCAATCACGTAGAGGACTTTAAAGAATTTCTGATAAAAAGAACAGAGTCCTGAAGAAACATTGAAGGTGAAATACAGGAGTTAAGAGAAAGAAAAATGCAAACAGGAATGAAAAATCTTGTTTCTCTGAAACCATCTCCTACAGACAGCCAGTGGCACAATGGATAAAACTTTGGGCCTGGAATAAGGAAAACCTGAATTCAAAACTGGCCACAGATATCAGCTTTGTAACTCTGGGGTGAATCAGTTCATTTTATTTTGCCTTGGTTTACCTAACTATAAAATGGGCATAATTAATGCAGCTTTATCATAGGATTATCATTAGGATAAAAATAGACATTTGTAAAAAGCAGTTAGTACAATTCTGGGACTATAATAGGTACTGTATGGATGCCTTCTATGTTCTCCCCTCTCCCTGTCCTCCCTTCTCCTTTTGTCATAAGCATAAACATAAAGACGAATCAGGGACAAACTTCTTATGTTTAAATATGGGGAGGTTGTGTCCCTATGGAGGAAGTTTAATTAAAAGAAGGTGAGAGTGGTTCTGTTATGTCGTAATGATCCCGAGAAGAATGGAGAGAGAAAGAAGAATATTCACCCAAGGGAGAAAGGAAAAGAAAGATTAGAGAAAATCATGTCACACAATTAAGGTGTACAAGTAACTATTTATATAAACAAAACCACCTGACACTTGTCCCTTATTTTCATCTGAAGTGTCTAAATAAAGGAAGAAAACTGAGACACACATCGAGAGTCGAGTACAGAATTTTAGATGATCTGAGGGAGAAGGTCAGAAAACAGATTACAGAGGGTTGAGAAGTACCTTAAAGGAAGGTATCAGGTATATACTTTTCCTAGAAGTTAGTGAAAAGGAAAAGATTTGGAAAGACAGCTTGAAGATAATAGAGGGTGAGAGAGACTTTTCAGGCTTGAGAGGCCAAGATATATTTTGTAGGAACAAAAATTTAACTATATTCTATAAGCTGCTTTAAATTGTTCCTTTTCCTACAAGATATGTAGCAATCACAGGAGAATTCAAATGTAAGGTCTGTACTAGGGGAAGAAAATAAAACAGAAAGAAACAGAGAAAAGTCAGGTCATGCTTTACAACATATAAAACTTGACAGTCTCAAAGCCTGACTGGAGGATAACTTAGGTAAAAATACAAACCAGCATTCTAATGGTCCCTGATGAGAATTACTTCTTCCCCAGTAAGTAAAGTATGAATGTAAATTGGACACAAGACAAAAAAATGTCTCGGCTGACATCACTGTATAGAGTAGGTTGCAGCAGATTCGGTTGCTCTGCTATGGAGGTCTCTGCAATCTGAGGCTCAGGCTATACCTTTCCCCAGATACTATAGAAGACATAAATATTCCCCAGGGGATGTGGTGTCACTGTGTCACCACACACAGTGAGTCTTGAGAAACAAAACATGGGACTTCTTGGAGTATCCTTGAGACGCAGGGGGCTTTCTCATTCCTGACCATTTCGTGCCTCAATTCCTCCAGCTCAGAGGGATGTGAGCTTGGGTGTGCTGTTAAGATTTTTAACACCAGCTCTCCAGGGGAGAAAAATGAATGCACTATGAACTTTTAAGTTTAATCTACATTATTAACTTTTTTCTCTATCCTATTGTTGTCTAAACAATGCAAAAATCAATTAAAGACAATCCCTGATTTTGAGTGTCTGCTGATTTCTGAAGTATAAGTGCTCAGTTGAAAACTTCACAATGACCCCTCTCATGCCAACACAGCATAATCTGGATATAAGGGACCTTGAATGGGTTTGGCGGTACATAGAGCACATAGAATCTAATTACAAAGAGAATGAACAAAAAGTAGCTCTGTCAGCATGCGTAAGTGGCAAGAGTAAGCTCAGAAATTCCACAATAACCATCTTAAGGTAGATACAATATCTGCTGAAGATAAAAAACGACAAAAAGCTGAGAGTGCTTTCCTAATTAGAAATGGCATTGAGACAAGCTGGGAAAATAACAGCAACATAGAAAAGCCTAATGAGCAATCTCTTGGTACTGAAGGTAGATTGGAGTGATGGAGAAGGATAGACACTGAGTCCTTACCAATAATATTTGGATTCTTAGTGTCACTAACCTTCCCCTGGATTTTAGAACTAATTTTGAGGGAAACCTCCCTGCAGCTCAGAGATGGGGACTCATCCCACTGCGAGGCAGTTGCTCTTCCTCACACTAAACAGAGGAAGACATGCAAATTGGGCTCCTTCCTCTAGGGATGAAAACCAGAAAAAACCTGTGTCTGCAGATCTGGGAGAGGAGCTTTTCTTCTGTGTGGACTTTCTGTCCTAAGAACTGACACTGTGGGGCCTGAACAATGAGTTTTGGACAGAATGGAATTTTCATTCTGACTCTTTTACGAGGTAGTTTTTTCTTTTGTTTGTTTTTTGACCAAGGATACACTCTTTGAAGTAGTGTATTTGTGTGACTATTGTCTTCAATGACTCTTTGTTTGCAGGTGTCCATTGTGAGGTTCACCTGGTAGAGTCTGAGGGTGGTGTGAGACAGCCTGGAGGATCTCTTTCCCTCTCCTGCAAACCTTCTGGATTCACCTTCAGCATCTATTACATTAGCTGGGTCCTCCAGGCTCCAGGGAAGGGACTCGAGTGGCACGCATCTATTTATAGTAACGTAGGAAAAACATTCTATGCAGACTCTGTGAAAGGCAGATTCACCATCTCCCTGAACTACAGCAACGACGTGCTGCATCTGCAAATGAATTCCCTTAAAGCTGAGGACACAGCCATGTATTACTGTGCAAGAGACACAGTGAGAAAAAGGAGTACGAGAGCACACATAAAACTCCTCATTCAGACAGGCCACATGGAGAGTGACTTAGAGAGAGAACTCAAGAACACGGAGTACAAGGAGACCACTTAGAATAACAGATGAAGCATGAGGCTGCAAAATTTGAAGAATCAGGCTGACAAAGTTTTCAAGGTCTGTGGATTCTTCCTAATTCACAGTGAACATCTAACCCTTTCTATCTATCTATCTATCTATCTATCTATCTATCTATCTATCTATCTATCTATCTATCTATCTATCTCTTTCCTTTGTGTTCCTGAGAATCTTTCCTATTTCTGTTGCTTGCAGCTATAGAGGGATGTATCCCTTTAATGGTTTATATGTTTTGTCCACGGTGACTAATTTCTTTGTAGTTGTGAAACATGACACAGATCAGGTATTATTGAACATTTATTATGTATCCCATAGCATTTTCATACACGTGCATGTGGAAAACATACCTACCTGCATGTACATTCAATATATAAGTATATGTGTTTATACACTAACATATCTGTTATGTAGATGATCCTCCCAATGTGTATGTATGCAGATCAGCATGTGTGTGTGTGTGTATTTATATATATCCCATGTATATTCATATGTATAACAGAAGATCATGACGCTTTAATTGGAGGGAATCAGCAGTTTCTTTTCAATCAGACCTCACATAATATCAACATTGTATTCCTTTATATTTTTCTTTAATCACGGAATTTAGGTAGTTCAATAATTCTTAAATTATCTCCCCTCAATCTCTTTTCCACATCAGTTGCTTTTCTGATTAACTATTTCACATTTTCTTCTATTTTTTTTACACTTTTCATTCTGTTCTATTTTTTTCTTCATGTTTCATGAGTCTCATGCACTTTTGAGAGTCCCTTGAATAGGAAGGCGGCCAAATGAATCAATATTTTAAAATATTAGTTCAGGCTTTTACCTATAAGGTGAAATACAAAAACTAATGCTTAAATACTTTGGCCACATGATATAGATGACATTCATTGGAAAAGATTTTGATCTTAGGAAAGACTGAGAGCAAATGGAATAGGGGATGACAGAGAATGAGATGAATAGATATTGTCATGTAAAAAATGAGCAACAACTTGGAGAGAGTTTGAAAGATAGCAGAGAAGGATCTGGTGTGCTTTGCCCATGGAGCATGAAGAGTTGGACATGACTGAATAGCTGAACAATGGTTAAATTGGTGAGAATTTATGAGATGACCAAATAACGTATGATGGACAAAGAAAAGAAGAGAGCATAGGGCAGAACCCCATGCAATTCCCGTGATGAGATGACATGATCTGTATGATGATCCAACAAAGGAGGGAGGAGAAGAGAACTCAGATAAACAGGGTAAGAACCAAGAGTGTGGTGTCCCAAAAACCTAAAAAGAAGAAAGTAACAAGGAGAAAAGAGTGCTCGTGTCAAAGCAACAGAGAGGTCAAACAGAATGAGGATTGAGAAAAAAGTGACCTCATCGCATGAGACAGGAATAAAGGAGATAATTGTTGATGGCATATTAGTGATATGAAATGAAAGAGAGAGGAGAAGAGGGAATTAGCAGAGAATGGCCTCAGTTTTTATTTATTTTGCTGTTGATTTTCTGCACTAAAGAAAGTAATGCAAAAAATATTAGTAATGCACATCAAATTTAAAACTTTTCTAAGTGCATAATTTTGGGGGGCAGAAGGATGCTTGTTAAACATTTTCTAGCATATAATTGGTTCAAAATGTCTTTAATTTTCGAATTCTGTCTTCAGAACCTCAAGGTTTCAACCTGAATCTGAGGCAACTCGGTACGCAGTGGATAGAGTGCTCAGCCTGGAGTTAGGAAGACCTGAATTCAGATCTGGGCTCAGTCACTTACTACCTGTTAATAGTCATTTAGTTTACTACCCTTGACAAGTCATTTATCTTTCATTTACCTCAGTTTCCACATGTGTATAAGAGGGATAATAACAGCACCTACCTTCCAGGTTTGTTGTGAGGATTAAATCAAATAGTTGTAAATTACTTTGTATAGTGCCTGGTACACAGTAAGTTTGATATAAATGTTAAGTATTATTGTTATTATCTGTATTTTTCCTCTGGTATGAAGTATCAACTCTGAAAACAAATGACTGAAGAATTATAAAGGTTTTGCAACTGCTGTTAATTATAAAAATACTAAAGGGCTCACTCAGGTGATTACAAGCACAGTTAACTCTGAAAAATAAAATGAAATAAAAGCAAAACCAGTGGTCATAAGCAAAAAGCTTTCTATATTCCACTGGAGGATGGAAACTAGCCCCATGAGCTGAGGTTTCCTCTAGGAGGAGATCCAAGGAAGTGATGCTAAACCTTGATATATGTAGTTGTAGGTAGACAAAGAATAGAACAATGCAGTCAGCAACAGTAGAGAGGCAAGGTTGTCTAGTGACAAAAAGTCCATTCTTAGCAGGGCTTCATGCCTGGGCCTGTTGGTGCTTGCCTGAACTTAGGAATCATCACTTCTGCCATTCAGTTGCAGCAGAGTTCATGCAGAGGGTGAGCACAAAGGACTGTTGTTATGGTATTCTCAAGACAGAGCTTTCTTGTTGGTCCTTAGCTCTGGAAAACAGGGTGTCTCCTAATAGTGAAAAAAGAGGGGAGTAACAAAAAAAGAAGGGTGTTTTTGGCATGGGGATACTGACAGAAGGAGGAAAACCAGTAATTCTGGTTCCTTGGAGTCTTTCAGAGTGTGCTAGTAAAAGTGACACAGTACATACTATAGCGTCTGATTTGTTGGTGTTTTTTTTTCATTTCCTTTTATAACACAAAGATATGTTTACTGTGAAGAATTTTCCTATGCTATCTTTCGTTTTAAACGTAAAAGAATTCATGATCTTTATTAGAGAATGTTTGAGTGTATTTATACTAGTATATATCCCATAGTATATATCCTATAGTATATAGGGAGGAATCAGCATTTTTCTAGACTTGTCTAGGCAACATAATGAGCAGGAAGAGACCCATTGAGATTACATCTTAATGTCCTTTTGAAAAAATACTGAACTTTGAAAGAAAAGGGGACAGGGAAGCTCCGAGTTTCCAAGATAATGATTACTAAGAAAAATCATTTGTCACATTCCCCCATCTGGTTCTAATGAGAGGTGTAGCCTTCTCAATGAATCACTAACTGATATGGTCAACACTTCATCAAGGGGTTTTGGGGACTTATGACAATAGGGGACAGGGGAAAGAGAACAGCATTTTCAATTTAAAAGGGTAAGCACCCCTTAGTAAGTACAGATGCAGAGACCCCAGGGGAAAAAATAAAAATAAATTGTCCATTTAAGGATTCAGAAGTGTCTTCTCGTACAGCTGTCTTGTGTTCAGGACATCATCTGATGAAGTTTCCTTGTTGGAGTATTGCCAAGTGATCTCCACCAGACTGTCTTCTTAAAAAATCTTGTGGAGAGAACTCCTCTTTCTTTGTTAAAAGTTTCCTACAAAATTGATCTTAATACAATTTTAAATGATCTTGCTAATAACCAGGTCAAATTATGCAAGTTAACTCAGCCTTTATGTCTGTAATATTATAAAATAAAAATTGGAACGTTGACCAAGTGTCATGTTGAAAAACTCAAATGAAAAAAGGAAAATTAGAACCCAGTTTTCATACTTCACAACTTCACTTTATTTCCACCATCAGGAGGATGAGATTCCATTAAGAAATTAATAGCAGAACCCTGTTCATAAAACGATAGACTCTGATACATTGAGTGATCAATTTGAAAACAGTACATATCAATGAATAAATTCCAACTTCTGGTCACTTTCAAATAAATACCCCTAATTAAAGTAGATGCTTCCTTGAAGGCATGTGCAGGAATACTTGATTTAACCAAATAATTTTAGCTGAAATTTCCATTTATGGCAAAACTTCAAAGCTCATGGGACATGGTTCATGAAAGAATTTGTGTTGCTTAAATATACATATGTATAACAAGGGTTCTTATAAGGTAGATTTTCATTAATTGGAAAAAAATAGAAGAAAAATGGGTCAAATGTAAGCTCTTCTATTCGTCATTGAAGGCCTTTTACAACTGCCTTTCTACCACTTCTGTAGTTTTACAAAATACTCACTATATCATATTGCTGTTCCATACACAAAACACATCATCTCCTAACTCTACATTTGCATTTCTTTCCCCCCTTGATGGGAATGTACTACTCCTAACCTTCATTTCTTAGAATCCCCAGTTTCCTTCAAGACCAAGTTAAAATGTTAGCTTCTATATAAAGCCTTTTTTGACCCCCTTTCATACTTGTGCCCACATTCCTCACACTGCTATTTTGTATATATCGATGTTGTCTACATCATTAAAATGTAAGATGAGATGCTTGAGGGCAGAAATGATTTCATTTTTGTCTATGTACCTCCCCCACTTAAAAAAGTTTCTGGTGTGTAAGCGTTCCTTAATAAATGTTTGATGATTGCCTGATAGATGCTTCTCTTTTTTTTTATCCTGTCACTAGCAAATATGGTTAACTACTTATTATTGTAGATATTTATTGTGTCTCAGTAGAGATGACAAGTGCTGGTAAAAAAAAGATAGAGAAACTGTTTATTCCCATATTTTTCCATTCTCTCTACTCTGCCTCTAACATTGAGCCCCAAAGTTAAAATTTACAAAGTCTATAGAGAAGTCACATCTCCTCTGATCCTTCAAATCAGCATCAAAACATGAAGTTTTCATCCCTACTCCCCAATCCTACAGTTACAGAGAGATATAGTGGACTGGAAGTGATGGTGGCAGTGTTAATTCTTTCAATGGAAGTGTTATGAACTGTGAAGAGCACTGGATTTTTGAGTCATTCCTGAAAGGAAGCAGTGATTACAAGATTCTGTATGACTTCATACAGAGTAGCTGATATCAGACTAACATAATTTCTATTTTTGACAGAATCAATAAACTAGTATAGAGGGAGTGCTGTGGTATTGCTTTTCTATATATTAACAAAGTATCTCATACTCTTTTTGTGAGGAACTTGAAAGATATGAATTAGATGATAACACTATGATTCAGAGCTGATTGGTTGACCTGATTCAAAGAGCAGTTGTCAAGGGTTCAATGTGGCTAGAGATTCAGTGAAGTGCCCAAAGAGTC